GGGCAAATTGAATAGAAAACAGATGAAATCTCACAGTGGCAGCACCAGCAGCCCAAGTAGGATATAACTCAGTCACAATAGCAATGTACTTCTCCATTGCTTCTTCAGGAGGCATGGCACCCAGTTTCTGCCATGCTTGCCTAGAACACAGCACGGCAAATTCTCATTTGGTCAACCAAATAATCTTGTCTCACAAGGCAAACGAAGCCAGAATTTCAAGGTTTATCAATATAAGAGGCATCTTTCAACACAATGGTACGTGAATTATGTGAGTAGCCCAACAGAACAAAAGAAACAGCGACACAAACACACATAAGCTATGCTTCCCATTCACAAATTTAACCTCAATAATTTCACAACATGACCCAATCAAACCAACTCTATCACAAGCAACAATTCGGTTAAATTCATCATGCTGAATAAACTGCAATCATAATTACTCAGAAGAAGTACCATTTGGCACGGGCAGTCATTTTCAGAGCTGAAGGCTGGGGAGTCGAACATGGGCCCTCGGTGGCAATCTTATACAATCCATAAAGCTGTAACTGGACATCATTCGACACCTTCACCGCCACACGATCAGCAGCCGTGGCAGCAATGAATGCAGTGGCAGCACTGAACAGCTCATCCAGCTCTGTACTCTCAACGCCCTCCCAATCATCGTCACTGTCGCTAAAATCGCCGATCACCTCCCTTTCACTGCCGGATTTCCCGTCTCCGCCGATCAACGGCTCAGCTTCTCCCGGAGCGCCAGACGAAGGATCCGCAGACACCCGATCGGATTTCAGCTCCGGTGAAAGCGCCCGAGTGATCCTGTGATTCTCATCACGGAAGGCGAAGATCACGGAGAAGAGCTTCGCGAGCAGGTACGAGAAAACGACGCCGAAAATCACCGATTGCAGAAACTGCTGCCAGTCATCCATGGATGAAATGAAACGACGGGAGCTAAAGATAACGAAACCAGAAGAAAATCCTAGCAGTTGCGCGGCGAGAAGCGAAAGCTTCGATAGATGGAGGGGCGGGAATTGGAGAAGCACATCGGCATAAACCCTAGAAAAAATGATAGTACCGGAGTATAATATTCTATGACTACATGAAAAAGTAATGAATTATGAGTTGCGGCGGCGATTGACGGCCGCTTTTGAACAGAAAATAAGCTTCCGATCGGAGAAAACAGCCGTCCGCCGCTGCGAATAATTTAACTGTGTTCAGATTTGAGATGGCCGGTATTGTGTGTGGTGATGCTTCCTGCAGTTCTGTATAGTTTGGGTATTTTCCTCTTTTGAAATAACTAAAGAATATGGAGGGGACATTGGGACGACGTCGTTTTTTGGACAGATAATTAAAAAAAAATAAATTAATTGGGCCATGAATGTATAGTAACATGGGCTGCAACTCAGTCTTATATATCCTTCTGTTTCCATAGGCCCATCTAATGCCAGGAAACCTATCCGTCGTTTTTGGGACAGAAAAAAAAAATAAAAATTAATTGGGCCATGGCAAGAGATAGAAAGCCTTGACAAGACAAACCACGCCGAAAGCCTTTAGCGAAGCGAAGGACGTCACATAAAGACCCGCAGGGAAGCCCTATGTGCGGAGCTTGTTTGACCTGTGGTCGTTCCTTGAGACCTTGACTCTTATTTATTTATTTATTTTTTTTATACAAGAAACTTTATGTGAACCGACTAATCCGAAATCGCACCGTGTAAGACCACAGGGGCGGCAAAGCTTTTACCTCAAAAATTTTAACACTTCGGCCTCTTCGGGTCCGAGGACCCGGGTCTTGCTCTTGTAAGGCAAATATGGAGGAGGAACGACAGCACGCTGAGCAATTTCTCCTGTTTTCAGCCGCTCCCAATTTCACGGAGTCGTGTTCTTGCCCTGAGTGCCTTCCCAAGATCACACATCTCAAAAAATTTGAGGATGAGATTAAGTCCATGAGCAAGCTAATCACTGTAAGTTAGGTCATGAATTAGCGAGCTTCAATCATTGTTAAACCGTTACTTTTTCAGTTCGTTTCCCCTTATTTTTGTCCGGTCGATTTTTTGGTTTTGAATAGGATTTTAGTGTTAAGCTGGAAGGGGACGTGTCACTCTGTATAGCCCTATCTTCATCGGCTAAGTGGTCCAAAATTTTGTTTGGTATTCTTTATATTCGCCTCAGAAGACTGCAGTGGGATGGTGGAAAACATCATGTAATAATCCATGTTATGTTGTTAACATGCCGTGTTTTCTCATTTTCTTTTTAAAAAATACAATTTTTTTTTTTTGTTCCTCTTCGGTTGATAATTGTTTCAGGTGAGGGAACTTCCGCCTATCCTTAGGAGAAGCCCTTCAGCTGATAAATTGGGAGATACTGATGTCGAGTTAGCTAAAACATTGAAAGAATCTAATTTGCTAGATGAACTTGAGGCTGATGAACTTGATAAGACATTTTATCTTGGCCTTATTTTCGATAAAGTCAACCATCTGGTAAGATTACGTAAAATTCACATATATATATACAGTTAATTGGATATGCATTCTTCCATTAGTTGGATTAATCCTTATAATAATGTGCTTATGGTTTCAATTGATTTAACATGCACTTGGTTGCAGTCTTCCCTTTACAAGCGAACTAAAGTGGGTTTCAAGGCAGCTGAGCTTCTTGCACATATTGCTGAGCTTGAACTAAAGCATAGTACTATTAAAGCTGACGAAGCATATGAAAAAGAACCGAGACGTTTGGCATTAAAGGATTTGACCGAGGAACAACTTAAGGTAAAAGAGTTTCTTCCCCTTTCTTGTTTTTCGTCCTTTTGCTTTGTTGAAATGGTGAACCGAAAAACACGATTTTATTGCATAAACATTGATCCTCTATATGGGCTGATGAAGGCAGAGAAATCAACCACTTAAAGCAGTAATCGACTAATATTACACCTTGACAATTATCTTCCTTGCGCTTTTCAAGCTACTCTAGCAAATTGGTTTTCAAGCTACTCTAGCAAATTGGTTAGGCACCTTTATATCTCAGCCCTTCACGCCTTCCCATGATGTGATGATGGTCACAAATTGGTCTTTTTTTTTTGGTTATTAGCTGCTTATGCGTTTTCTTATTTAGGAGAATTCAACTTCTTTCGCTTAACTTTATACGCTGTTGTGGTCTCTTTTCTGACAAAGCTCAAATTTTCCTATGTTGTCCTTTGATTTTGAATATCACCTTACCTAGATTTAAATGCCTAAGAGCTCTCTTACGCACCTCCTGCAGTCTGAATAGTATTTCATTCTTTGTTGTGTGCTGCTCGGTTTTTGATTTAGCTCTTCCATCATCTTTTCCACAGTATTTGATTTGCTCATAGCCTGGCCACGATGCACGAGGCAAAGCCTCAGCAAACAAGCCATCGGAGCTTAAAAATATATTAATTTAAATAGTGGTATTAAGTTCAAATGATAAAAACAACCTCAAATATTCTCCAAGCACATCAAATAATCTTACAACAGAAAATTAAAATCAGCCACCATCCCATTTGGAGTATTCTGACATTTTAATGTGATTGCTACTCCCAATATGAAGAAAATGCCTAATTATTAAGTTTATGTTATGGGAATAATGTGAAGAAGAAAGAAGAACTAAAAAAGAAGTGGAGAAGTTTACTCAACATAAATGAAAAGTTAATCCAACTTGCAGCCTTTGATTGTTACGTAAAGAAAATAACCTAATTATCGTTCTTTTTGTCTTACCTAACAAACTAAGAACCCAAATAGCAACCTACTCTAAGTTTAGAGGGTACAAAATAAAACAAACATATTATTTGGCCGAGCTGCGCTTTCATTTTTTATACGCTAGTTACCATGTATAAAATATAAATATTATTATTATAGACGGTGAAGCGGTTGCCAGTTGAAGGGTTGCTCGAGCAATCTACAGAGCTTATGCATATCTCTCTTCCTGTTCCAGTCACGAGGCAGATTCTGAGGGATGCCTCAACTTTCATAGATCAAACATGTCATGATATGATTAGAGAAAGGAATGCTTTTTGGCAGCAATATCACGAGGTGCGTGTGTATGTGCATAAGAAGTTTAAACTAAATAACTTGTTGGGAGGCATTTTAATAACTCATAACCTTGATAATTGTTTTTCACTAGTGTCCTTCCTCGGGCGAGATCAAAGGGCACCATTTGAATGGATTGAGTCAAACCCTAGATTCACTGCTTGACAAGGTGCGTGAACTTAAGATGTTCGACATTTGACAGTTACTGTTTTCTAGTTATTGTATTTCTTTATATACTCATATATATATATTATATATTTGATTCTTGACGATCAGGCTCGTGCGTTCAAGAACCAGTGGGAACAGAATTATGTCCAAATATTTGCAGATTTTGAACTATCAAATTTGAATAGGCTGCAAGTGACTGACTGATGGCTAGCAAGTTCTCATGGCCATACACAGAGAAAGAGTTTATGCTATTATGGGTGTATGTTTTTATTACCTCTGCTTTGTGGAGCCTTTTTTTGGGTTGAACTTGGATAAATTATAGTTTTGTGTTTAACAATGCAAAGTACTAACTACCACTGATTATTGCTTTTGTTCTTTATAGCCATGTGTTGGCCTGTTATGACCTTAAAATCATCAAACCTTTGCTTACCTTTGGCATGAATATTTATTCTCATTATATTATGTCTTGTTCTTTGTCCTAAAATGGTCTTTAAATACAAAATCAGTACTGGTGTCCAGTTTTTGAATCCTATTATTATTTGTCATAAATCAATTTCAATTGATTAACCACTGTCATTGCAACATAGACTTACAACTAGTGCATTAATCGAGCTAAGCGAGCCGAGCTTGTGTGTTTTGAGCTCATGTTTGTTTACGTTCGAACTGTGTTCGAGTTTGTTCGTTTATTTTTCGAGCAAAAAAATATGTTTGATCTCGTTTGTTTAATTGTCCGTCAAAATTCTTTCATGTTTGAATAATTTAAGACAATAACTGTTCGAGCTTTTTAAATGTTTGATTAACTCGAATTTTGTTCATTCGAACTCGAAAATAAAATAATAAAACAATTTTTTTTTAGATTTTTTTTTTTAAAAATTATGTACATATAGAAATAAGATAAAATTAAATTATATAAAATCAATGTTCGCGAACATTATTGAATGTTTGCGAATGAGCTCGTGTTCATTCGAGTTCGGCTCGATTAACAAAAGAACGAGCTTTCTGAATATATACTAACATAAACGCAATATATACTACATGACAACTGTTGTGAATTAAGGAATTCCAGTTGCGCACATATACTGAATATATACTAACATAAACTCAATATATACCACTTGAGAGTTGCGTGAATTAAAGAATTTCAGTTGCGTGAAGAATATGTTTTGAAATTCAAATATGATATATTTCCATCTCCAATGTTGAAATTTTGCCTACAAACATGGAATGGTTGTTCTACCTACTTGTAACTGATTTTAGGCATGAATGTAACTAAATCTTATCTATTAGGTATATACACAATTAAATTACTATGAATTGTAATGTTGCAATTACTTCAAACTTATATAGCATAAATGAAAATTTCCCAAAAAAAAGTCGTTTGAAAAATAAAATAGAAGAATCCTCATTTATAAAGCCCAACCCAACAACAAAATCCGAAAAGGCGCTTGCGCTCAACTGATTCTACCCACCGTATCTTATCTAACTAGTAGATATTTTGTGCACATGCACAGATGTACATAAAATATTAGTAAGTAATGTTTGAGAATTTAATATTAAAATTCCAAATAATGAACATATTTCATTTTCAAAAATTTGATCATTAAGAAAAATAAATTAACGATTTTATTATTATAAACAATTATTTATTATCATTAGATAATAACACTTTGATTATTATAATTATTATTATTATTAAAATACAATTATTTATAAGCTTCTAAAGTTGTTTGACTATGCTATTAAAACAATTTACTAATTGTTTTTAAAGAAATTTTTTCATGAGATACAAAAAAAAGATAATATTGATGTTAATATAAATAACTTGAAACAATTGTTTATAATTATGTAATTTATATTTTTGTGAATTATTATTAGTTGGTATTAGCAATAACTGTTATATAATGTAATAGAAAAATACATGATTACACTTAATAGGATGTGCTAATGTAGAAGTAAAAAAATATTAATGATAAATTTTGTAACTGAAAATAGAGGAAAAACTTTAGAAGTTTTATTAAATAGATAAAATTAAATGCTAAGCTAGCAATTATATATATATATATATATATATATATATATNNNNATCATTTTTTTTAAACATAGGGAGTTCATTGTAAGATATTTAGTGTAATAGAGAGTGAAAAGGAAATTTTTTTGTGTGGGGACTGAAAAAGAATATGTAAAAGGGTTTAAGTACTTTGTAGGAAAAGCCCCTTATTTAAATGGTTGATTTTAAGGGTAAAAAAGTAAATTACGTGATTTTTGGGTGAAAAAATGAAGAAAAAGCTGCACAACACGCGCGTGCTCATCACTGCCGTCATCTTAGACGGTCTAGGGTGTTTCGCGCATGTAAAACTACATTACAAAGAGATTTGACGCAATTTTTAAATTATAGGGGATAATGCAAATTTAGTATGGGTTTGGTGCAATTTACCTCTGATTTTTCTTCGATATTGCTCGCATCTTCTTTGCCCCTTATCCATTAGGCTTATCATTTTACGCATTCTAAATTTCTAACAAGCTCTCTCTCTCTATCATTTCTTGAAACAGCAATCGTTCAGCATGAATTTGGATTTTCTGGATGTATCCAATGAACGAAAACACATAGAGTGGTGTCTCCTGTTTTCGCCAGCTCCCAATTTCCGTGGCGCTTGTTCATGCGAGGAGTGTCGTTTTAAAATCAAACAGCTCACAGATTTTGAGTCCGAAATTAAGTCTAAGAAAGATCTTGTCACGGTAAGTAGATTACCAATTAGCGAGTTTCAACAACTTTTAATCTCGTCTTTTCTTTTCTTTTGTTAATAATTTTATGTGGATTTCTGAATAGGATTTTGATAATAAGCTTGACAGAGATGATACAGTCTGTACATCCCTTGCTTCCACGGCAAAGTGGTCTAGAATTCTTGTGGATATGCTCCTCCGACACCTCAAGGAAGTATACGAGGTAGTAATTGATGTCGCTCCATGTTAATGATTGAGCTGCCCGTTTATTCATTTTCTTGTTAATATTAACAAATTTTCTTAAATTGAAAATTGTTTCAGAGGTTGGGGGTTCCATTTACCCTCCATTCAGATAATAAATTTGGAGATATTGCTGTCGGGATACTGAAAAAGCTGCTAGACTATCGTTTGCTAGACGAAACTGAAGTGACTGAACCTGACGATAAATCTTTGCTTTGCCCTATTTCTGATAGTATGCCACATTTGGTAAGATGTGTAAACCCTATTTCTGATAGTATGCCACATTTGGTAAGATGTGTAAATTCATGTATGCACTTAACTGGGTCTGAAATGCATAAATTTTTGTTAGTTTGGATTCCTTATAGTGTGCATATGGTTTAAATTCATTTTACTTTGCCCTTTGCTGGATTTTTGGACAGATTTTCCTTTATGAACGAACGAAGGTGAAGGATGAGGCTTTTGGCATCTTGAAAAATATTGCTAAGCTTGAAGAAGAACATGAGATGAAAAAGAAAGCTGCCCAAGAACACGGGGAAGTGCTAGACCCACTTATCTCCAAGAAGTACATCGAGGAACAAATTAAGGTGAAATATGATCTCCCTCTCTCTTTCTTGTTTTTCCCCTTTGCTTTGTTGAAATTGGGTTACTAAAAAACATGAGCAGTTAAAGGAATTTCTGTATGCAACAAAGTTTGGGAATTTCTGTACATTTCTTCGTTCATGCAAAGGTTCTCAAAACAGTGGAAATGAAGGCTGACCCTTATATACAGGGCTTACCAGCTAAGATCCAAAATACTTCCCCGTCAGGTAGCTAAAAAAATCATACACCTCGTATACGCTCTTTACAACTGTAAAACGCGACTTGCGGCACACTTGACAAATCTTACACCTTCTGCATTCTCCTCCCCTTTTTCAAGCTACTCTAACAAATTTGTTAGGCACCTTGAAATCTCAGCCCTTCACTGCGTCTCACGATCTGATGATGCTCACAAATTTTCATTTTTTTAATTATCAACCGCTGTTGTTTTGTGTCTTTATAAGTAGAACACAACTTATTTCCCTTAACTTCGTAAGTTGTTGTGACCTCCTATTTGACAGTTGAGTATCCCCTTACTGCCATTGCACAATTACTTGGGCTAAATTGTATTCTTTAACCTGACCATCCCGGTCTAAAATATTGACTGGTGCGAGTTTGTGTTCATTGTCAATGTTAGGTAATTATTGGGCGGGCTTTGCGGCTTGTTGCTTTTGATTTTCTTCGTTAAGAATGATTTCACATGCAATGCATGATGCATTTTGGTGTGAGTTTGCAATTTGTATTTGAGATGATGAGCTATTGTTCCCACTTGGTGAGTGATTTGAAAAGATCTGTAACATTTCACAGACTTGGTTTGTTTTCTCATCTTGTTGTGGCCACCAGATTTGAATTTTGAAGAACTGCATTTCCCATCCAATTATCGTGATAATAATTCCTTCTTTGTTTTGTGTTGTGTGATGCTCAGATTTTGCTTTAGCTCTTCCATCATCTTTTATTTGTCTTGCACAACATGTTGACCCGCTGGATTATCTGTTAAAACCTTAAACAATTGTATTTTAACCTTTTTTGAAATTTATTGCTATTGGTAGGTCTTGGTCTTATTGTCTAACCTGACAAACTAAGTAAAGAAGTTAGCAACTGACTCTAACTGAAAAGGGTAGAAAATAAAATGAACATATGATTTGCATTTCTAGAACATCATTTATCATGTGTAATATCAATATTATGCAGTTGGCGGAGCAGTTGCCCGTTGGGGGATTGATGGAGGAAGCTAAAGAGCTGATTCCTATAGTTTTCTTAGCTCCACAGACAAAGAGTGATTGTGGACGAAGTCTTGAGTTTGATAGATATGACTTGTCGTGCTGTAGTTAGAGAGCGGAATGTTTTCTGGAAGCAATATCATGAGGTATGTGTATGTGTGTTGGAGATCTGAACTAAATATCTTGTTAGGAGGCATTTAAGTAAATCTAACTTCTATTATTATTTTCACCAATGTCGTGGCTC